TAGTGCACCTCCAAATTGTATCATAACATGTAATTTTGGTGAAATAAATTATTAAGATTATCTCAAAATCTATTTTCATATCTAATTATAAAATTTTAAAATCCAAAAATGGTTAATATCAAGTAGATCTATAAACGTATGAAAATCTTAAAAATAGACAGTCTAGATAATGTATTGCAAGATGCACTATTTCTGAGACTCAAAATCGTTTTTTATTATATTCATACATCTCGATGTCAAGATGATCAATTAAATGTCTTTTCATCATTAAAACAACCTTTTTTTATGGAGTTCTGATCTGCCTCTGTAATTCTACATTTTAAGGTTGCAACCTTATATAAACTTTTTCCATATATATAACACATGATTTAAAAAAATGATTTATCGTTGAAGGCAATTAAAAAAATATAAAAGAAGATGATAGTATAAAAATGGGGCATATGACAAGGAAAAGTCTAAAATTATCTTTTACTTTTCTTTTTGTTTTCAATGTTAACGGTAACTTCATTGAGTAAATGAAATATTACAAAAGAGAAGGAACGAACAAAAGAAAAAAGAGAGTATAAGAGACGAGAGTGCTTCAAATGGTCGCTAGTTTAGCGAGGCTATCAGCATCTCGATTTTTTTCTCTGTTAATATTACAGAAGGTCAACTCCTTTCTTGGTGTGGATAAGAGGATTTCATCTAATCATTGAAGCTAGGAATGATCCATTTTGGTCTTTGCCATTTAAAAATGACCATTTTTTTCCATTTTATCATAGGCACTTGACTAACTCTCCACCATCAATTAGTTGCATTATTCATGTGCTTTAATCTGCGAATGCCAATTCTCCATTAAGGCTTCTAGTTTTTTAAGAACTGACATGGATGCTCGAAACAGAGAGAAGATAGATAGGAGTGCTGGCCAAAGAAGAATTGATCAGTGTTATTCCTCCTCAAAATGATAGGTATCTCCCCTTCCAGCCCTCTAACTTATACTTGAAGAGTTCAATAATAAGATCCCATGCAGATTTAGGGATTCTCCCATCCGCAAGAGGGAATCTTCAAGTATTTAGATGGAAGCTTCTCCACTCCACAGCCTAGCCATTATGCCCAACCATTCCATTCTTCACCAAAGCAATTGATCCCAATGAGTTTGGATCTCGTAAGGTTGACCTCTGCGCCTGAGCTCATAACACTTAAAAGAAAATCCAAATATTTTGGACTTGGTCCAAGGATCCCAAAGTGAAAAACAACGTATCATCTCATATTATATATAGGAGGCTGGATGCTCAGAACCATGAATTTTGAGACCTTTTATAAGGATAGATCGCATAATTGAAAGATTCCCCTCCCAAAAAAAAAAAAAGCCAAAGGGCGTCCCCCTTCCTTAAGCCTCTAGAAGCTTGAAAATAGCCATTCAACAAGATAGACAAGTGATATGGTTTTTATCGAGGCAATAGCATTTAAGCATTAAGTTAACCACACACTAGGGATATACTGTAGACTTTAAGTGCTCATCAAGACATATCTTCTTAATTATAATTAAGTCATAAACCTATAAATTGCATCCATCAATCGATTTTTTACGCATCGCTGATATGAATTAAAGGATTCTGGCAATAAGGAACATAGAATGATCTTTTCTAAAATCTCACAATATTCTCAAAGAGTTTCAAGAAATTGAGTTATTTGGTACCATTTCATCTTGTGCAAGCATCTAAACCATTACATAAATAGTCATCAGTTATAATATGCCACTGCCCTTAAGTCCACATCTCCCGAAAAGGGGAATGTTTCTTTGTAACACAACATATCAGCACTATGCGACCCCACTTCTTAGCCATTCAATCTTAATCGAATGGCTGCGACTGTTTATACCACAATGTTACGCCAAACACTGTTTTATTTTTCATTTTTTTTTACAAAATATTTTTTGATGAAATTTTGGACGTCCCATCATAAAGTTGGGGCAAAACTGGAAAAAACAAAAGAAAAATATTTTCTATAAAAATAAATGACCAAAATTCCCCTATACTTTTAAGGGGTATTCTGGTAATTTTTTCCCACAAAAAATATTCTTTTATTATTTTTATCATGTGCACCCTTATTCGCTTTATGTACATCCAAAAATTTTCTTCAAAACTATTTGTAGAATAAAAATAAAAGATAAAAAAACTATGAGCCGCCTGATCAAGATCTGACAGTTAGACTCAAACCATCTCAACCATCGACTCAAATCTGACGGCTAAGACCAGGAGTTACATATACTATATATGTGGGTGGAGTCACATAGAAAGTCCTCCCTAAAGAAAAACCTTTAAAAAGAAATCTCTTCAGAGGATACAAACTGTGTTTTCAGGGATACTCGGACAAACTGATTTTTCATAATAACATAATGACCATAATCTTATTCGACTCGTATGAATTCCAAAAACTCAAAATGACTTTTTGAGTGCTGTTTTCAATTTTCAAGAATGCTCAACAGTGATGGGGGTAAGCATGAGTCTAGCAAGTCTTTCGGCACCTCCATATATTTGCAAAAGTACATGAGCCAAAATGCTGATTTCAAGACCTGCAAAAACGCAACAGGTGTAAAGAATGTCAGTGTATAGATGCAAATGAAGTCTTAGATAAGGTTGTGACTAGAATGCATCCCCTTCTGAGAAAATGGCCAAAAGAAACCGACACTAACAGCTGTTTTTTAAAGAAGTAATACCCTATGCCAATGGTTTTAAAGAAGTACTCAAGAATTGCCCCATGGTTTTTTAAAAATGAATCATATTCATGATGTGAGCCACATGTTACCAAGAAATCTGCAACTTTGAAAAGATCATTCCATGAGAATTGTATCCATTTACAAAATATGGTAAAACTTGCCAAAAATGGCAAGAAACATTAAAAGTGACGAAGCCAGCTTTGTCAAGTCGTGCCTGTGATAGGAATTTCTCTGTTACAAATCATTTTATGATGAAATTTTATGTTAACATTGGTCATTTTTTTGTTCAAAAACACTTCTAGTGATTTTCTTGGTAACATCAAGAAACGAACATCTAACATTCAGTCAACTGGTCTCTCAGAATGCAGCAGAGAGATTCTTTATTACAAAGAAATTTAAGTCAAAATGTTATATTAACACTGGTCATTTTATGTTATTTACCACTTCCTGGTAATTTCCTTGGTTACAACAGAAACAAACCTCTGATGTTGGGTCAACTGGTCTCTTATAAGGATTTTCTGAATGTCCCAAGGTCGTCTCAGCGAGTGTCCGCACATACTGACCCATGTACTGCAACGTATTAACGAATGACATACTCAACCACCATAGAAATAAAAATCCCAAAAAAATAAAATCCAAGTCAGGAAGAAAATGTACCTTGACATAATCTCTCAGGGATGAGTCATTCTGCCTAAGAAAAGTTCCAAGCCCTATGATCTGAAACGGAACATTTTGCACAAATGAAATCTTGTTGACTATGAGTTAGAAGCAAGCCACATTACATCTTGCTTTGAAAAAAGTTCAGTTACGAAAAATTGTGGTATGCAAATACAAATCTTTGCCACACCTTAGCGTGGTGAGGACAGGATAGAAGATATGTACCAACTCTCAGACAAAGGAAATGTTAGTTCAGTGCATGTGAATCGTAGTTGTTGGGATCGGTAACAGGATAGGAAGATCGTAATAGGCTAGGAGCTCCCTATGGTCAGTATCGTTATCCGTACACTGAGAATTCTTGGGTTATCGATTCCAACATATTTGGGAGCTGGATCCCAACTATTTGGGATCATATGATAAATTCTAAAGGTCCGAGACCATCTCTGGTAGAAGTATCTCCTTTCTCTTTAAAGTATATATAGAACATAATTTTGCCACATAATTACTTTCTTCTTTGAACGTGGTTACTATGCAAGCATGCCCGCACAAGCATCCCACCATCCAACTTAGTTGGACAGTGGTGATTGAAAGACTATCTTTCAATCACTACCATCCTTTATATGCGGGCATGCATATAAACCTTTTCCTTCTTTTTTAATGGATATGCATTTAAGAATTGTTTCCTCATAAAAGACTAATCGAACATAAGCATGGTTTATATTTCTATCAACCAATCCCTAATGGACTGGAATAGTGGTCCCCCATATGGGAGTGAGATACACCCAAGGTCTAGCTCCTGGTGCGTGGATTGCCAGGATTGCCACCAAGTAGGGAGATCCTGCCAACAATGATGTGAACACAAATAGGACGAACAAAAAACAGACAGTGAAGTAATTAAGACTGTAGGATTTGATACTCACCAGAGGACAGAAATCCAAAACAAGTTTTTTCGTTCGACAAGTTAATGCACCCAAGTGGATGTCCAACACATATCGAGACAGCTGTAAATCCCAAAAAGTTGTTAGTCAGAAAATATTCAATGCCACATACCTAGAAAAAAATGAATGCACGTGAAATAGAAAAGTACTAACGATAATAGCACCATGAAACTCCAAGAATTTAATATACAGGCCCAATAAGAATGCATGGGATTTTGAGATACATTTATGGCATTGTAGAGCTAAATGCTACAAAACTTAAATAACAACAGACAAGGATCATCCGTTGCTTTTTGCAAGATTGACATGGAAGCACAACCAATACATTTGAGGATGCTATGGACTTTTCATCACTAAAACTAAATCATGAACAAGAACTTTTCTTTCTTTTTCCATTTTGATGACTAGTAGTATTCAGGCTAAAAGTTAGAAGAATACAGCATGCAGTTGTGCAAAACTACTAGTGCAGTCTAAATCAGAACTGCAAAAGGAATGCCACAGTGCGTTATTTACCGTAGGTCAGCTCTAACTTTGACAGCAACAAATCCATCGGTTAGGAGATGGCATTCTTTTTCTTATAAATATAATCCAGACCACTATACCACATTGAACTAAACAAGCAGCTCATACCAATGAAATAACAAAAACAACAAACAAGAATATTATAACGGATCCCACTGGAACCTCAGATCTATGTACATACCCATCATTTACAGGAATATAGCCATGATCTAACTGGGCTAGATATACATAATGATGAACATACATAGACAAACATTCGACAAGCATTTAGAACACACCATGAAACATGAAAAGAGATTAGGACAGATATTTCATGCTCCTTGAGGACAGAAGGCTGGTGTCAAAGGCAATATCATGCTAAAGCTTTATATGGAGGAACCAGGAGATACAAACTACAATGTGAACATAACTGCCGAGGGTTTAAAAATGCACAACTGATAAAGAATTTACTAAACCCCTAAACAAAGGAATTAAAACATTAGACCTATTTTTGAAAACAATGTAAAAGTTTGCTATAAAATTAATGCTGGGACCACAGGGTGAAGGGCTCATGAGCAAATAGGATGGGAAGCTCAAAGAAATTGCCAAGTTTGAACTGTCTGGATCAAATTCTAACCTGTTAATGAAGCGGGCTCCTTCCTGGAACAAATACTCCCTCAAAAGGTACATCCCCTTACACAAACATAGAGAGTGTAAGGTTATTGAAAGCCAGAAACCTTGGCAAAGGCCCCATCTATCCTTTCACCCCTCGAATTCCACATTGCCTGTTATGTTCGAAAATGGAATCTCAAAGGTCATCAAAGATTATGTTCAGATGATCCATGGTCTGAGGAATGAGGAAAAACATATTCTTTGTATGGGTCTGGATTAGATTACTTGAAAGAGATAACTCCACTAGATAGCTTATCTATGATTATGGAACTTTCCTTGATATGACTAGCACGCTCATGCTAACCATACTACAAGCCATTTGGACACTAGTTTCCTCACAATGAAGCACGGGAGAACCAAATGAATATTAAGACCAAAGATGGACTATTTCAGCAAAAGTAAATCTGCGGTACAATTCAAGCTCTGAAATTGGATTTAGTAGAACTCTTTTTGCTTTTCTCAAAGATGAAACAGCAATAAAGATGAGAACCAGCTGGTATTGTGAAGTTATGACCATTAAGAGGCATAGCTCATTGGCAACAATGCGAGGGCCGAAGGAAAGAAAGACTACAGAGCCTATTATAAAGGGGGATCAGATATATTAATTGATATGAAAAATCAATCAAGAGGCCCTCAAAACGTCCAGTGTAAATTTGCTTGCCATTACCACCAGCAAAATATCGAGTCAAGTGATTGTGGGGCAATTAAGAACAAATAATCTACGATAAGTCCCAAGGATGTTCAGATCAATCAATCCATTATTGTTCAACAAATTCTAAATATTAGATCAGGCAACTGTTTGTGATGAGGAATATGAACAACCCTAGCTAAGAAAGTTCCACCGATGGGCAGGGATTGTTAAGTTATTCAATAAAGATATATTCATTCAACCTCTGGACCGTCCAATCATGTTCTGATGGGGAAGGGATTGTTAAGCTGTTCAATCAAGAAATACTAAAACGTGCTCTAGACCGTCCAATCAAGATCTAAAGGCAGAGATCGAAAGTATTTTAGGTCATCTATTATATGGAGTTTCAAGAGCGTTTTGGTCATTCTATTTTTCTAAAAAAAATATTTATATTATTTATAAGCATGTGAGCGAAAAAGCATAAATGCCCAAAAATCCAATGTAGAGAAACTAAAAAAAAATTGGAATACTCAGCAATGCTCTCAGCCGTCTGTGAGGGTATTTCGATCATTATATTTTTTCCAAATTGTTGTTTGTATATTTTTTATAGGTTCCTGAGGGTGAGAAGTCCAAAATTTTAGCACAATTTGATGTATAGAAAAAAAAAATTGACCTACCATGGATGAGTTATGATATCAAAATCTCATTGATTTAACAAATATTTCCATCTCATTAACAAAAACTTCAATGAACGATTGAGATTGGCTAACTTTCAGATATCCTACTTTTCAAAATATCAGCTTAAACAAAACATAGTTTACCAAAATTCCCAAAATTCCAGACTCAGCATTTTCCTTTACAAGGTACTTAATTTTCTGCTTTCCAGATTTCAGATTTCGAAATCTCCAATTCCAATTCCAGGTTCTAGTTGCCAAACGAGCCCTATGAGATTTTTAGACGAAACCCATATCATATTCAATGTATTTTTCAAATCCCATGGAACATTTTTTGTGAAAATTGAACCACATATGTGCAAAAACCTGATTTGTACGCCCTAAAAAGAGGTTTTTCTCTCCTTTAGTAGCCACATTTCAGTTCCTAGAGGTGTCCCTCATCAAAATGTTTCATCCCAGATCCCTATGTCTCATTCGAGTTTTAGTTACATCTGTTTTTTTCTTCCTTTTTTTTCTTTTTTTATTTTTTCTAAGATCTACATCTGGTTGTTTCACCTGAGAGAGAAAGCTCATTAATCCAGTATACCAATTTTCTTTAAAAAAATTCCAATATCTCCTACTGAATAAACATAGCTAAAAAATGCCTACAAGGACTAAACATTGCAAAACTCACCACGATGGTAAATAATTTGATTTCCATACTATTAACAAGTTCAACAAGAATGTCTTTACTATTGGAACAGGAAATCAAAGAAACGACCCCATATGATAAACAATATTATTAGGATCAGACCAGAGCCACCGAACTGGTGAGGGATTTAATTCAGTCAAAACCGGTCCGACTATTACTTAAACCGATTGAACTAGATTTAAAAATACAAAAAAAAATATATAAATGATAGTTTTAAATTATGAAATATATTACAAAAAAGTTGTCCATATTTGTTTGACCAACCTAATCATTCAAGATTAAGCAATCTAACTGGCCAAAATTGGCCAAACATTGTATAACAACGTTTCCACCAACCTTGATTCTTATTTTGGACCAATTGTCCAAATAAGTCAAAGCAGCCGGTCCAGTCCGGTCCAGTCTTGATAACTTTGGACAAATCTATTCAAGAAAGTTCTAAGCCATATCATTGTTATGGGGTGAAGTTGGATCCAAAAAACCCATGTACCACGAGCATATCAAGAGGAAAGGAAATGACACAGACTTCTACACTTTCTGAAGAGGAGAGGTAGCATCTAGGGTCAAAAACATCTAAGCTTTACCACTACACGTACTTGAGCCACCCACACCAAATTAAGCTCTACCAAATTAAATTGCAGTGGTAATAGAAAATATTATGTAGACCTCGATCATCAACTTGGTGACGGCATTGGTCCAGCCCAAGCCAATCCATGTGGCAGATCTGCCTGGAGAAAAAGGAGAAAATAAATAATCAAAAATAAGTTAAAATCGATTCAGCCTGCCAATTGAACTGGTTTTTACCAGACCAGACTAGTTTTGACTGGCTCTTGATCACACCAGTTCAACCAGCCATTCCAATCTAGATGAGAGCATCGTAGTCTTCTCATGACCAGCTTAATTTTATTTTCTATTAAGGGTTTTAATTTTTTTAGTTGTATTTTGTTTAGGGTGAAACTATGGTTATTTGGCCTTTTAATTTATTTTAATTACGTTAGGGTATTTATATCTTTAGGTGGTGTAGAGTACTCAAGGGAAATTCGATCATTTATTATTTTATTTAGTTAGAAGTATTTTAGGTCATCTTGTTTAAGCGATATATTTAAAAAGGGGGAGAGAGGGGACTCCACAACCTTGGGGTTTTCTTCTCTCTTTTTTTTTCTTTTTTTTTTGCCCCTTTTTTGGGGAGAACATTGAGAAAGGCATCCTACAAAGGGCCTCTTAAACTCTTTAAATGAAAACCATAGAGAAGGTTTAGTAGCACCTCCTAAGGTACCTCCTTCCAAGGTACTCTTTAATTTCTTCTTTCCTTTCTTTCTCTTTTACTTCTTTTCTTTCCTTTTTTCCCCAATTACTTCTTCTCTTTCTTTTCCTTCCCTTCTTACTTGATTTATTTCCATTATTTCCTTTCTTAGTTACTTTCTTTTTTTTCTTTCCTTTCTTACTTATTTTCTTCCCTTGAATTCTTTAGTATTCTTCATCCTTTCTAAATTTTCTCTTTCCCTTTTATTTTTTCCTATTTTATTTTTATTTAAATTTTTGGTTTTATCATAACTCTCCAAATCAGCGAACATTCCCCATCAAAAAATCCATTGGAACAATTAAATTAACCCATAGATTCTCCCTAGAAGTAATCCTAGATAAAATCCTTTGAAAGCTTAACCCAGATTTCACGTCTAAAGTCAAAACCCTCATTGTTTACACCTTATTAACTCAAAAGCTCATAAATAGCTGTGGAAAATTCCAGAATCAATTCAAAGTTATTTTGTACTCCATTCTTCTCTCTAAGACGGTATGCTAGCTTTAAATTTGATCAGGATCAATTTTTCATTTGGGCTGATTTTGTTTCAGGACAAAGTTCAATTTTTACGTATTTGAAATCTCACCTCCGGACATTATAAACAAATTTCCTAAACTGCACGTTGATTCCCACATGTTTGTTCATTAAGTTTTGTTACCTACTGATATTATAGATATTTAGCCTTACTCGAATTTAAAGTGTTCTTCAAATGTGTTTTAGGCTGTTGTAATCGAAGATTAGTGCATGGCTAATGTTCAGTTACATCAAGTCTAGTTTTAATAAAACTGGTAAAACTGGGAATAGGTAAAACACCAAGGCACAACTTGGACATTTCACTGCACCAGAGAGTCCGCACTCGTGGAAACTCTATGAGATATGTGGCGGAGGTTTCTCAAGAACGCAATGTTACTTGAGAATAACTTGGGAACTTGTTACCATCGTGTAAGAAGCAACTAATGTGAAAGTATTGCAAGGAAACAGGATATCTCAGTGGCAACTATTGCAAGCAGTCATAAAACAACTAACAGGGACCTCAGTATGCATCTTTTTCATGAAAAACTTTGGTTGCAACAACTCATGAACCTCTGTGATTCCTCTAACATCTACACCCACTTCTCACAATTTCTGTGGTGGCTCCGGATGACTACCAGTAACTTGCCCAAGCTCTTTTCTTCATAAGCTTCTCATGTGTTAATGGAGGGAAAAAATATTTTTTATTTTTATTTTTTATTTTTGGTTAATTTCAAAGGATGTATATCATAGTTTTAGTTTTAGGGTTTGTTTCTAGTAGTTTTTTAGGAAGTCTAGGGTTTTATATTTGTTTACTTAATTTCATGAGTATTGTTCACAAATACTGTTCATGAGTACTGTTCACAGGTACTATCATTACAAATTCAAAATTAAGTTCGGATATATGGGTCACTGTATTATTTATTTGAACACGTTTTGTATTTGTAACATTATAATGTTATATAAGCGGTATGTGGGGCCTTGAGGGGGTCATTCCACAATTTTTAAAAATTGAAAGAGAAAGACAAGCCTAGGTTTGGAACCATAACTTGGATGTAGAAAAGAAACCCTGGGTTTCTTTGAATTGTGCTTGCGTTTAGCTTTATTCCTTGCTGATTATACTATTTTCTCAAATTTTCCTGCATCATGTGTGAACTTATGGACTGCAAGCGTGATACATTTCTCCACTTCTCTGAAAAACAAGGACAAGGATGTTCCATGATAATGGTAGTTTTCCAGAACAATTTGTAAAATTGGGTTATGTTAAGAACTTGCAAACGCAACAAGATAGCAGGTTACTTTGTCACTCATGTATCTTGCCTAACCTAAGACATGGATCAGAGTCAATATTGCTTCCTTTTGGGAGTCATGCATGAACAATTAACTTATCACCAATACTTGAGTGACCACCACAGAACAGAAAACCAAAATTGATCGACAATTGCACATAGTGTCCTTCTTAACTTATGTCTAATAATATTTATATGTTCTTACTTGCGAAATTGTAACAATGGATGCAAAACGCCCTATTTGAGAAGGTGGGCTCCCTGCAATATATTGGATACGCAATGGGCTGAGAGACCCACATAGCATTCTTTGCTTGTTCATTTGATGCAAAAAGGATTCCATATCAGTGTATTTTTCCTGAGACGGTCGTTCGTGATCAACATCCTGTGCAAATTCAACAGTTAAATCCTGCTTTTCATTACGATTTAAATCATGAAATATTACATACATCTATTCACCTTGCCATTACAATGGAAAAGGGAATCTACTAGCTGTTCAACAGCAAAAGAAACTGCGCCCGCATTAACCTGACAGCATATTAGATTTATTAATGTCAAAAAACATATATATTTCCAAGAAAGGGAATTACCACGACATCCTGGGATGTTTTAAGGATATGATGGAAGAATGCCTGATAGCTCAGACTAATAGAATTCAATCATCCAATTTCTCAAAACAAAAAAAAAAAAAAATAGAATTCAATCATCCAAATAACATAGAAGATTTTTCACATGAGAGCCTTTTCCGTAAGTCAGGCCACCTATACCAGTGCTCTATTCATTTACTTATTTACATAAACAGTAGTTCTCCATCATTTTATGAAAATAGTTCATTGGAGAAAAACAATAATAACATAGGAGTAGCCATAACATGCCATAGAGATGGCTGAAATGAAAAAAGGATGCCGCCAGTAATAATATATCAGTTATTCTTATATTCACAAGAAAGTTTCTTTATGAAATACCTTACAAGCAGACTTCAGCTTTGACGAAATCACGCAACGCAACAGCTGTAGCTGTCCAACATAAGCCAAACAAACAACCCATTGCTCCCATGATTTCTCAGTCATCTTGATCTGTCAATCGTAATAAGGATAGCACTAGTATATTATTAGGAATTGGAAGCACACTGTAACCACTAAAAGCTCTACAGCATGCATAAAATTCCAATCTCCAAATTGTCTAGTCATTTTAACACCAAGCCTATTTGAAGCTCATAAACAGAATAGAATCAGTTATGAAACTCCTGAAACAGAAACAGTTATACAAAAATAAAGGTCAAAACTACTTAGGTGCTGACATAGCTGTCTAGCTAACAAAAAAGCACTCTTAACTTAATTCGAGAAAAATCCCTCATATTTTGTCATACAAATGTGAAAACAATGAGCCACTCTAGAGTATAAAGAGGAGAAAAACTAAAGGGTCAGATAATTTACAGCAAAGTTCCGTTACGGAAATTGCTACTAATGGCAAGATTACCCCAATTACCAATGGCTTGCTTCGATGACAATTAGTTTTATTTGGAATAAACTATCTTATCTAAAACTAATATACTCTGAAAATATTATCTTGCTAGCTATTTGGTATGCATCTTGTACTGTGTACAATATTATTTAATTTTTTAGAGAGTTCCAACTATCATTAGCTATTTTTGGCCAAAAACATGAAATTTTCAGCAATTTAATATGAATAAAATAAAAACTGCTTTTCCAAAAGATAAGCTTATCTGTAAAACTGCCCATAAGATTATCCTAGAACTTTACAGTGCACATTACCATACAGCAGATAATTCATTATCAGAATTAATTTTATTGAAATAGTGAATTATCAGAGATAATGAGTACATCCAAACAGACCCTTAAAAAAGCACCTTCAAGCAATGGTTTAAAAAACGGATCGGTGACCCAGATCGGGCACTCAAAAAACTGATCCGGATCGGCGAATCGGTGATCCGGATCGGGAA